ATTCTTTGAAAATGAAATATCAATAAACCAACATGACAGAGGATAGAAAAATACTAAGAGGTTATAAAAAAAACTTTCCTTCATCTGTAAACATTAGAATACATGATTTACATTAGATCAATAAATTATCTTTTAAGGAATAAATAAAGGGTTCATTGAGATCAATGTAATTTAAAATCAATAATACTAGTATATGCTTAGGCATTCTTTTTTAACAATTTCATTTTATTGTGTTTTTTAATCCTCACCCAAGGATATTTTTCCATTGATTTTTAGGAAGAAAGGAAGAGAGAGGGAAAGACAGAGAGAAACATCAATGTGAGAGAAACACACCAATTGGTTGCCTCCTACATGGGACCCGGGCTGGGGAGGAGCCTGCAACCAAGGTATGTGCCCTTGACCACAATTGAACCCAGGACCTTTCAGTCCGCAGGCTGATGCTCTGTCAACTGTGCAAAACTGGCTAGGGCCTTGAAAGTTCTCCTATTTCAGAAAAAAACTGATTACTCCTAATGTGTATAAAATGTATTGGAGATCATGGAAAAAAGTCAACATTCCCTGTCAATGCCACATCCTCAGTACTGAACTCAAGCTTAAGATTCTAAGACTCTTTAAAGTACTAGTATTAATGCTCATCTATAAAAATTCAATTAATAGTATTTGAGGAAATTAAAACACTTAAGTAACATGAACATATTTGGGGATGTACTGCATACACATTACTGATTTTCTTCTAGCAAGCAATTAGCTAGAGCACACAAAACTTTTAGTCTTGCTTGAATAATATTCATTTACATATTAAAGCAAAACAGAAATGGTAGGGTTCATATTTAAGACATGGAAGAATGAATGATATGCTAAGAATATTCAGTTAGTTATGTCCAGAACATCTTTGTGTAAGGTCAGTTAGTCACATCTAATTCATATTGGACCAAAATAAAACAACTTCCTGGACTTATTACTGCTTGCAACATTTTAAGTAAATACAGAGGCAAAGTTTCTAAAAGTGCAATGAAGCCTATCTCATCCTTTGTCTTAATTTGTGAAGCATAAGCAATATTATTTACTACACCAGGCAAAACTTCTGCCCCCATCAACTCATATCCAGTTCATGAGAAATTCTTACCAATTCACACTGTCATATTTCTAGAATTACATGGTATTTAATGCAATATAATTAATTGCCTTTTTCTTCTGCTTGCTGAAATAGTTCTAGCCGTTAGAAATTTTAATAAACAATGATAAAGATAAAGATATCTTTATCTTTGAGCTGTATACTAGCTTCATAGTAACCAATAATGTTGATATTATGTATTTCATTAATTGAATATTTTAGATAAGTCCAACTAATAGTATTAAAATTAAAAACTGTATGATTTCTTGGTGATTGCTTTACTGTGATAACTATATTTCCAAGAATACTTCTCTGCACACACTTTCAGACCTGTCTTACTGATGGGTGCCACGCTCCAAGGCTGGCACTGTTGCTACAGACTGTATTTCAATTTCTCCCAAAGGGTGTCCTCCGCTGGCTACCCATTCATGGTAAAGTAGTTAATTTTAATGTTCTCATTGTTTACCAGAAAGCACAGAGAGGCTGCTTTGCTGCTCCCGTTTCCTTTTGCTAGCCTGCTGAGCTTTTTCAGCCAATTGACTCTGCTTTGAGGCTATAAATATCTGAAAAATGTTCTGCATTTGATGCTCTTGGATTCTGCATCCATATTTAGCTGTTTGTGGCATGCCTTTGTTTAAGCTACTCTACCACCCATACAATCAGTCCGGTTGAGATCTGGATGGTCAAAGGACAGATGGATCAACATTCAACAAACACTGACTTACTCTGAGCAAGGTATCAATCTGCTAGACTCAGGGACTATAAAGGGGGTGGCAAGATAGGAATGCAAAGATAAACAAGACAGATCCCCTGGTGTCAAAAAATGTCATAGTCCTGACAGGGCATGGGCACAACTTATTGTAATACTGAAATACAACAAATGAAACATTTTCCAAGTGAAAGAAAATGAAGACTAAAACAGCATAAAGTTTTCTCTTAGCTATGTCTCAAAGATGTGCGTTTGTGTTTTAAATATAGATCCACCTATTACATAGCTCTGAACATATTCCAAAAAAGTTTTACAATCATGACAATACACTACACAAAACTTTAGAGATATATATATGTCTATGTATAATCTATATCAACTTTGGCAATAGCAAGCTCAAAACAGTGCCTAGTCTTCCAATTTTGTGACGTAAACTAATAAAATATCATTTCTAAAAGTTTCTGTTAAGATCCTCTTTGGGGTCGAGGGTACTTTTGTCATTGTTATTTGTTTGCTTATTGGTTACAAAGACTAGTGTTCTGCAGAGCATGTGAACCATAAGCAGAAGCCTGCAGCACTTAATAACAGCTCCTTTTTTGCACCCTATTCTAAAATCCACTTGGCTATTTCAGGTTAGGTCTCAATTGAATGAGCTAGACTTGAGAAAGATCCCCATCCCCACCTTCCTATCTTGTGAAAACATTCCAAACAAATATACATCTGCCCTCAACTTTCCTTCTTTCAAAACTCAGTTCACTGATCTCTTGATAAAAGTGCTCCCCAGGATCCTCTGACAGTCATGATTTAAATGCATTCAGGGCTTGCCTGCTGCCTAACCCCAAGAGTCCGGGCTGAAATTGGCAGGCCTAGCTGTAGGTAAAATAATAGGGCAGGCCATAGAATCAGACAACTCTAAAGCTAAAATGGACCACAGATACCAATTACTCCAGATTCCACATTTTACGTAGAAACTTAGACCCACAGAGTTAAAATTACTTGCCCAAAGTTAGACAACCAATTTGTGGCAAAGCCAGAACAAAAAACCAAGTTCTCAACCCCCACTTTTATACTCTAGGTTTCTTTAAAAAAAAAAACAAAACAAAAAAAAACATTAGACTACACTCATCAAAGTCTCTTTAAATTGTGTAGAAGAATCCAGATGTTCCAAAACAATCAGGATTTTGAATGCCCAAAATAAATAAACAAGAACACCAAAATGAACTAGTGTTTTTCAAGTTGATTTTCTACATTCTATTCTTTTTCCTTCAAAGTATTTTGAAGAGCTATATAATAGGCAACTTAATACCTAAGAACATAGAAAGCCAACATTCATATAGTTGGGAATATTTACATCAAACTAAAGACAACAAAGCAGTATACCCAAGGATGAGTTGCTTTAGTTTTGAGGAAGGAAAGTAGCAGTTCTAAACAATAAATAAAAACAACTTCTGGTTAATTGATAGGGAAGACAAAAAAGTTACAAGGCAGTGAAAAGTTTTTATGGGTTACATGCAAAGAATGTTATTTAATCTCGGTGCAGAAAACCCAGAGGGAATAGTTTTGGACACTGAAATACTGAATTATTATTCTTACAGTAACATGGCCCTATCTCTAACGTCATACAAAAAAAAAAAAAAAAATACGCCAAAGAAGTGCGTAAGGAAAGAAAAAGACTAGCGTGGAGAAATCTCCATACATACCCTAGTTCATTTTCAGATTCTCACCAACCTTTGCTATAGGGTAAGGGGGATTAGCAGGTGGATGGAAAATCAGGCCCTAATGTTTTTAACGGGCTGAGAATGAATTGGGTGCCCTTGCATCATCTTTTCTGTAATTCTTTCAGTTAATTAGAATAACTTCAAGAAACACATAAACATCAAGCAAAATACAAAGTGGTACATACACATATATTCTTAAGAACTGGTTACAGGAATAGCTGGATGTTTAGAACTGTAAGGGCCATTAAGAGATTATCTAATCCGATCTGTTCATTTTACAGATGAGGAATCAGAGGTCGAAAAAGTGACCTGATCTGCCCCAAATCATATTAAGACATTTTTAGTAGCAGAACTGAGACAAAAACTCAAATCTCTGCACTCCTAGTTCTGTGATCTTTCTCCCAGGGAGAGATTTAATGTCTTGAAATCAGCTGAACTATCCAGAGAGACAACTTCTAAGGCTTGGTCAACTCTTGAACAGAAAATACATGCCCTGTTCAAAAGAAAGAAAAGGTAATGTACTTGATCACTACAGGCTTACATGTCCATAACTGCAGTGTAACATCCTAACATTGTGTTTGATCCCAGGGATTCAAGTTTGCCTTCTTAGACTCAGCCCCAGGACTAACGTCTTTTGTGTCCATGCCAGCGAGATGATAAACATCCTGCCCTCCTAATATTTTGGAGAGCCACTGCTCAGTGCCCAATGCCAGGCGATAAATCCTTGGGCTATGAGTTTTCAAAACCAGCACGGTTTCAAGGATGCCACAAGGCTCAGCCAGGATCTCATCATTCCGTTTTTAATTAAAGAGGTGGTCACCAGGAATGCAGAAAGGGAAAGTTTTCATGTGTGCTCATCGCTTTTAACTCGCAGATCAGCAGCCCAAGTCACTTTACAAAGGGAACCTGAAACAACAGTGCAACCTGCAACAGTTCACACCAGTTGAATCCAATTGTCTTTGGAAAGGGAGGTTCAGAAAGAGGTGACAGATTAGTCTTTTTCCCACCAAATATATACTCGTGCTAAGCTCCTTCCTATTTTGGTTTCCAGCCAGCCAGCCTCGCCTCAATCCAGAGAAAGGAAGGACATCCCCTTCACTTGATCTCATGGTGTGTGTTCCATCAGACCTTCTTGATGGGCTGACAGTTGCCTCTAAGTGAATCGCCTAAGCATGAGGTCTGCAGAGCCCAGCACTCCACTCCCTTCAACTTAGGGCCGGTGCCTGCAAGGGTCCAGAGACCACACTGAGACAGCGATCTACCCAAAGGCTAGTCTGGAGGAACTTGTCCGAAAGAAAGGCACCCCGGGACAAAAAGGGACGTGGGAACCGGACCCAGAAGGAGGGGAGGGGTGGGGAGGGGAGGGGAGGGGAGGGGAGGGGGGCTGAGCGCAGGGCTGGCACTGGCTGGGGAATGAATGCCAGCCTCGGCAATGGGGTGCAACACCGGCGGTCCTTACCGTACACGCGGACCCAGCCCTGCTGCTGGCACACCGACTCCAGGAGGATCCGATCCAGCATGCCACCCGCCACGGCCCCGCCGACTGGCACGGCGGCGTCCAGGTCCTCCGGGGGCAGCGGCGAGTCGGACTCCAGACCCGAGAACATCTCCGGCCAGGACAGCGCCTCGGCTCCTCCGGACGCCGCCGGGGAGAGCTCCATGGTGCCCGGGGGGGAAGGCGGCAGGGGGCGGGCGCTAGGCTCCTCGCCCTGCCCGCGGGGAGGGGAGGAGCGCGGGGCAGGGACGGAGCGCCGCCGGCCGCGGAGGGACGCGGCTCACCGCCTTCCCCGCCGCCCCCGGCCCGCCGCTCGGGCGCTGCCGCCACCTGCAGCCGGCGCGCGGGACCCCGGCCGGGAGGCGGGTCCAGCGTGGCCCCGGCCGCGGGGGGGGTGGGGTGGGGTGGGGGGGTCCGGGCTCAGGTGCGGGTCCCTCCCGGGAGAAGGAGACCAGGAAGGACCGGGAGGGGCGGATCGCCCGCCAGCCAGCCCCCTCGGAGCCGCCCCCCTAAACCCCGGCGGGAGCGGGCTCAGGGGCTGGGGGTGGAGCGCGGCCCGCAGGGCTGGGCTGGGCTGGGCTGGGCTGGGGGCGTCGCCGCCAGGGGCCGCCCCCTCCGACCGGCTCCCGCCGCCTCAGGGGCTCCGAGTGTCCGCTCCCTCAGCCGGAGGGGAGCCGATGGACCCGGGTTCTCGTCCTCCTGCCCTCAGCCCCCACCCCAGGAAGGAGCCGGCCTGGCCCCCCCCTAACTCTCAAGCCACCGCTGCCGTCGCGGCTCCGGCTCCGGCTCTGCCGCAGATCCCACCAGCCAGGCAGCCGGCGGTGGCGGTGGCGGCGGCGGCGGCGGCGGCGGCGGCAGGCGGCATCCCAGGGTGATAGGCGGGAGCAATCGAGAGCCGAGCGCCGGCCGCCGCGTGTGCAATCGGTAATGAAGCGGAGGAGGAAGCGCCGCCGAGGCAGGACAAGTCGAACACCGAGTTACCCATCAGCCCCGCCTCCATTCCCATTAACTTTCTTCCCAGCCTCTGCAGCTGCAGCTGAAGCTTAAAGCGGAGCCTCGGCGGCCTGGGGAGGCGGAGTGGAAAGGGGGTGCGGGAAATTTAAAAAGGAAGGAAAAGAGCTTCCCGTTCCCGTGTTCCCATCCTTTTCCTTTTATGTATGCACGTCCTTATTGGAACGAGTATTTCTTATTGGGCGAAGGATTGGAAAGAATTTTTTTTTTTTTTTTTTGCAGTCGCCCTGGGGGAAACTGCCTCTTTCCCAGAGAGGAGAGTTGGCAGCGGGGCCTGAGACTGGGATCCGTGTGGGATCCGCGCTGAAGCTGGACTTGTCATCGCTTTGGAATACATGGCCAGGAAGTGTGGTGTGGATGGATGGACGGGCCTCGCAAGCACATGGGTGGCTCCAAAGCTCAGTATTAACCAAATATGTTTCTCTCCTTTTTTTTTTTTTTTTTTTTTTTGCCTTTGATCTTTGTGCAATATGTTGGCTATTTTTCCTCTAATGATGTCACTTGAAGTTTTATTTTTGGTCTATTTGTAGACTGTCTTCCTTGACCTTGGCTTTCATTTGATTCCCACCCAAGGCGGTGTTCACAAGTTCTGGTTTTAAGAGCTCGCCCGCAAAGTAAAAAAAAAAAGAAAAGAAAAGAAAGAAAAAAAAGAAAAGAAAAGAAAAATAACTACTTAATGTCTTGCACATAGTAGGTCTTCAGTGGTTTTTAACATAGTTACTTAAATCGGAGCAGAAATTCCACCAGGATATGTTGGGGGTTTTTTACACTTTAGGAGGGGTGGGGTGTTTAGTATCCCCCGTCCATTTCTCTTTATTTAAGCACAGAGACTGGTCTACAAGGGGACACTCTCATGGTCTGGTTTTTGTGGTATTCTAGTGTATTAGTTGGTGGACTTATCAAGAGCTCTGAGGATGCATTTGTAATTTTATTCAAATTCTTACTTAGAATAACAGTATTTCTAAGCAAAAAAAAAAAGAAATTAACTCACCCCGCCTCTTATGTAAGGTGAGGAAACTGAAGAACAGCCAGGTTACCTGGCAAATCAATCACCAGTACAAATCTCAATGATAATGGTTAGTTCAACCTTATTCCCTCAAAAGGCTTTTGTGGTTGAGCTGGTTGATATGTGGCTTGGTGATATATTTGGAGTAGTCATTTCCAATATCTAGAACCCTGATTTCTTATCTGACTCCACAGTCAGACTTGCAAATCTAAACTGTTGTATTTTTCAGTGCTTGAGTAGACAAGGGCGTGGGTTGAAGTTAGATTACGGGGAGCCAGAGCATTTTTATTTATACTAAATTACTGTTGAAATCATGGTAGCAGAGGTCAGACAGCAAGTGAACAAGGGGCATCAGATGTACAATTTTGAGTGTCTCTTTATTAGGAATTTATTAACCCAAGCAATTATCTCAAAGCAGAATTAGGAGTGGTGTATGAAACAGGTGGGGGTTTTTTGTTTATTTTTTATTGTTTTTTTAAGCTTGCTCTCTCAGTGGCATTATCCATTTTGGAGCTGAAAAGAAAAGCTTCTAAGGCAGGGGACAGTTGGGGGAGAGGTGAGACCAACCAAGGGACTGTATGCATATATATATAAGCATAATCAATGGACACAGACAACAGGGGCGTGAGGGCTTGAGCGAGGAGGTGGAAGGATGATGAGGAGATAAGGACATATATGTAATACCTTAATCAATAAAGAAAAATAAATAAATAAACATTTTTTAAAAAGAATAAAATGTGCCTTTCCTTTGAAAAAAAAAAAAAAAAAAAAACCAAGAAAAGAAAAGAAGAGCTTCTGCGGACCCCCAGTAATCCTACTTTCTTCATCCAGATTCTCCAAATCCTAGTCCCTGCTTCACCTCCCCATCCCAACCTCAAACTAGCTGCAATGGTTATCTAGTTGCCTAAGTAATAGTGTGTCCGGAATTTACCTAATGTTTATAATTCACAGAGAAAATACTTTAACCACCTGAGCAATAACTCTATGAGATAAACAAAACCAATATTTTCTAAATATCCATTTAGCCAATGGAAAAAAAAAAAATTGAAGCATAGAATTCTATTAAGTAACCTACCTAACCATAGCTAGTTAGTAGACAGATTAAAACCCTAGTCCCCCAATTTTTTTAACTCACTGATAGATCTAAAGACCTTAAGAGTCTCCTTCACCTCTTGGAAGATAGAATTGTTCTAACACTTGTGGAGCCAAAAGTAAATATTTAATGGTTTTTACAAATTATCACATAAAAATATTGAAGAAAAACAAACACAAACAAAAATGATAAACCAATTTGCATTGTTGGGAGGCAGTTAATCCTACTTGGATTTCCCTGGTGCAATCCCAGATCTTATTGTGAAGATAAATCCTTGGCTAATAAAGTCTTCATTTACTTTGCATTTGCAAACTGGCTTTTGTGTGTGAATCACAAAAGAGCTAAAGTCTCATTTCTGCCTACCCGATCCCCTCCTCCTTTTTCCTCCCTCTGGAGTTTCAGACAGTAAACTCTCAGAGGTGATCTACATAATTATTATCCTTAGAATACAACCCCAAGACCCAGGACAAATGGGAACTAAAAGCTGGGGGAGGAGAAAAGGATAATAATAAATTCCCCAGGTAATAGTGAAAAGCAAAGGCTGGCTATCAACTGAGATTTCTCAAAGATGGAATATACATCTTGCCAATAATAAGGAGAGACGAAGATTTGGAATCTTGGCTGTCACAGCCTGAAGACCAGGTATGGGTGCAATTTTCTCCTCTGATTATCTGTCGGAAAACATACAATCATTTTATTATAGCCAGTCCCTTCTAGCCTACCTAGACACCACCTCTAAGCAGCTAATCCCCCAAGCAGTAATGTAATTTTTAAACTGTGGCTCACCAGCCTCTCCCTTTCAATATTATTACCTTTCCACTTGGACACAACGACACAGCGTTCTCCTGATTATACAGGGGTGGCAAAAAAAATATAGGTTTACAGTTGTTTGTATGAAAGATTTGCAGATTATGAGTATTACAATAGCTTTATTAATGCAAAAGAATGTTACAATGCACTGTAAACCTAGTTTTGTCCATCCCTGTGTTCTATAACATTAACCATGTCCAGTTCATCGTAAGGGAAGAATTTAGATATTTCTCAATATTCTTTTTTTTTTTTAATATATTTTATTGATTTTTTTTTTTTTTACAGAGTGAAAAAGAGAGAGATAGTTAGAAACATCGATGAGAGAGAAACATCGATCAACTGCCTCCCACACACACCCCCCCCCCCAGTAAAAAACCTGGGACATGCCAGCAACCAAAGTACATGCCTCTGACTAGAATCAAACCTAGGACCCTTCAGTTCGCAAGCTGAAGCTCTATCCACTGAGCCAAACCGGCTTTGGCTATTTCTCAATATTCTGTTGTCTGTCTTTCTCCTGCCTCACTCTACAATTCCCTGATGATCTCTTCACTTTTACATGTTCAGCTCTCACTTGGATAACCTCTCCAGCCTCACCCTCAGCACTGAGGTCCAGTCAGGAGCTTGTAAATGTTGAACACCTCCACTACGATACGCTTCCTGTAGTTTAGGAAAGTAAAATCCCCCTTTTTGTTACTCAAACACCCTTCCCTCCTTGAATTTCCTTTTTATGTTTGTAAACTTGAGGTTTCTACCTCACACTTGCTTAAATGTGGAGTTACCTTTGCATTCTTTCCTCCACCTTAGCGTGCATAAATCCAAGCCCTGCTTTCCATTCCCACCGATACCATCCCAGCGCAACCCTGGTTAGCTTTCACCAAGAGGATGCATTAGCGTTTTAGCTGTCCTCCTGCCTAGGAGGCCTTTCCACCTCCACTTCATCCTACACTCTGCTGGAAGGGAAGCATCCGAAAACAGATCACATCCAAACTCAAAATACAGCTCCCTGCTGCCTCCTAAGTAAAATGCATGCTCTGCTGAGATTAAAGAGGCATTGCTACCTGACTCATTGCCCATGCTGAGCCAACCCAAATGGCTCACTGCTCCCCAAATACAGCCAGCACTTTCTGTGCCCCTTGCTTCTGCTTGTTTCTTTTCCTTTCTTTTCTTTTCTTTTTTAAATATATTTTTATTGACTTTTTTACAGAAAGGAAAGGAGAGGGATAGAAAGCTAGAAACATCGATGAGA